ACAAATCTTCAAGTCATAGCAGTTGTCATTTTATTTTCTTGATAGTATCCTTTGAAGCACAAAAATTGTTATTTTGATAAGGTCCAACTTACCGAAATTTTCCTTAGTTGCTTGTGCTTTATGTGTCATATCTAAGGCATTTATGCCTAATCCAAGGTTGTGAAGGGTTTTGTAGTTTTAGCTTTTGCATTTAGATTTTTGATTCATTATGAGTTAATTTTTGTAAATGGTGTAAGATAGGTATCCAACTTATTTCTTTTGCATGTGGATATCTACTTGCCCTACCACCATTTGTCCCACACTATTTAGGGCATCTAATTTACCAGTATTTAGCCAAATTAAAAATGCACATTTCCTACGTTCTATAAATTATTCCATATATTCAACTTATGGAATATCAATGTGGATCTATGAGGCCATATTCAAAGATATTAATTATAGCATTCTTTTAATTATAAAATATTAGATACAATATAGTATCATTGAGTAATGAATAAATTATGAAACTTTCATATAATGGAACATAATGTATCTGTTAAATGGAAAAAATTATATGAGCTGATTTTACAGCTACCATGATATTTTACTGAGTTAAATAGTTTCTTTTAAGCTGATGTTTATTAAACTTTACTGTTTGTCAGACACAGTTCTAAGTGCTTTATAAGTATTAAGTCATAACAAACCAACAACTCTAATGTGTTATTATTACCCCATTTTACAGAGGAAGTTCACAGTATTTAAGCAACTTCTCCAAGGTCACACAACTAGTATAGTAAGCAGATAAGCCAGGACAAAACAAGTCTGACTCAAAGTTTGCAGTCTAATCAATCCCCGTATGGTTGCCAAATCTGTATCTATCCATCTGTATACATATATCTAATATATATACATACATATATATTATATATACATATATAAAATATTATACATACATATAAAAGATATATACATACATATATGAAGAGATTTTACATATTTATATAAACTACATATATAAAATATATAAATATATATAAGATATATGATATATAATTATATATAAATATATATCCATCCCAACTTGGTTTTTAAATAAGTCATCTTTAAGTATATAGGTTTCCATGAACATTGCAAAACATCTAAAAGATAACCAGGAAAGTATCAATAGTCAGGTTTGAAAGACAGGAAGGAGAAGAGAACACCGTGTGCTCAGAGCCTCCTATATGTCTCTTTCTGTACTATGGCTCTTTGTGGAAATGATCAGATTTAATTTTCTGACATTTTTCAAGGCATAAATTATACTCATTTTACAAAATAAGAACTTAAGAATTTAAGTGTTAACTAAATTCTTTGCATAGCAGAAGACGAAGTGAGGCTTTCTAGGTTGAAAGAACAGCCTAGCCAGGCACAGCGGCTCATGCTTGTAATCCCAGCACTTTGGGAAGCCAAGGTGGGTGGATTGGCTGAAGTCAGGAATTCAAGACCAACTTGGTGAAACCCAGTCTCTACTGAAAATACAAAAACTTAGCCAGGCATGATGGTGGGCGCCTGTAATCCCAGCTACTCGGGAGGCTGAGGCAGGAGAATCACTTGAACTCAGGAGGCGGAGGTTGCAGTGAGCTGAGATTGTGCCATTGCACTCCAGCCTGGGCAACAAGAGCAAAATTTCAACTCAAAAAAAAAAAAAAAAAAGTTGATCTCTATTGATCACCAACACATGAAATATTGAAATAATTATTGCATATATAAAATAATAATAATGACTAATTTGAGATATTTAAAACATGGAAGAAATACAACTTACCAAAATAGAGAAGATGATATAGAAAGTGTGATGAAGAAAATGTATATATATTTGGCTGGGCATGGTGGCTCATGCTTGTTGGGAGGCTGAAGTGGGCAGATTGCCTTAGCTCAGGAGTTCAAGACCAGCCTGGGCAACATGGCGAAACCCCGTTTCTACTAAAATAAAAAAATTAGCCAGGCATGGTGGTGAGCACCTGTAATCCCAGCTACTCGGGAGGCTGAGGCAGGAGAATTGCTTGAACCTGGGAGGCAGAAGTTGCAGTGAGCCAAGATCACAGCAGTGTACTCCAGCCTGGGCAGCAGAGCAAGACTCTGTCTCCAAAAACAGAAAAAAAAAATTCATATATATGTATACGTATATCATATCTATATTATACATATATAATTAATATAAAATGAATACAACCTACCAAAACTCATCATTATCTCTCAGTTTTGGTATATATATAAAATTTTCTATGTTATATTTTCTAGATCATCTCTCAGTTTTGGTTTTATTTATTTTGTATAATACATATATATGCAATTATTAAAAAGTTATTGAACAGTCACTCCTCTTTTGGCCAAGTCAAAATAACTGGTAACAGAGTATAAACCACATACAACTAGACAAAATATATAAAACAACTGTTTTCAAATCTTGGACAACAGGCAGTATAGGACTGTATCTATTGGAGAAGGAAAATGCACTGGTTGACCCTCATAATTTGCACAACTTTCTGTATGGAGGCACTTTCTGATCCATGGTGCAGGGAGGTGGAACCCTGGTAGAATATTGTGGCCTTCATCAGTTGAAGATATGGAGATTGGATTTTTGAGCTGTTGAGTTCTATAATTGCTAGATCAGGGTACCAGAGAGGGAGCTCCACAGAGCAGTAGCACCAAAAGTCTGCATAAGGACCGCTTAAGTCTTTGGCAAAATGTAAGCTGTGTATCCATAGGGAGAAACTGCAAGACCTGGCAGAGAGTAGCTATAGTGTAGCTGAATGGAGACTCTAGAAATCATACTGCACTAGAAGAGATGTTGGGCTTTCAGTCAGCCACAGAGAGACCTCACTAAACACATTAGTTAACAACATAGGAGTATGTCTACTCTCACCCTAAAGTGTACACTAGACCCATGCAAACAAAATTTTAAAACAATTGAGTTGATGTGTCGTTTCTATTTTTTATTTCTTATTTTCTTTTTTGAGATGGAGTCTTGCTCTGTCATCCAGGCTGGAATGCAGTGGCACAATCTCGGCTCACTGCAACCTCCGCCGCCTGGGTTCAAGCAGTTCCCCTGCCTCAGCCTCTTGACTAGCTGGGACTACAGGCGTGCATCACCACAGCTGGCTAATTTTTTGTAATTTCTAGTAGGGATAGGGTTTCGCCATGTTGGCCAAGATGGTCTCAATCTCCTCACCTTGTGATCCGCCGGCCTCAACCTCCGAAAGTGCTGGGATTACAGGCTTGAGCCACTGCACCCAGCCTATTTTATTTTTTGTTGAGACAGAGTTTCTCTCTTATTGCCCAGGCTGGAGTGCAAGGGTGTGGTCTCAGCTCACTGAAACCTCCACCTCCTGGGTTCAGGGGATTCTCCTGCCTCAGCCTCCCATATAGCTGGGATTATAGGCACCCACCACCATGCACAACTAATGTTTGTATTTTTAATAGCAAAGGGGTTTCACCATGTTGGCCAGTCTGGTCTTGAACTCCTGACCTCAAGTAATCTGCCCGCCTTGGACTCCCAAAGTGCTGGGATTACAGGTATAAGCCACTCAACTGATAGGTCATTTAAAAAAATATCTGGCCAGGCACTGTGGCTCACCCCTGTAATCCCAGCACTTTGGAAGGTCAAGTTGGGCAGATCACGAGGTGAGGAGTTCGAAGCCAGGCTGGCCAACATAGTGAAGCCCCATCTCTACTAAAAATACAAAAATTAGCCAGGTGTGGTGGTGGGCACCTGTAATCCCAGCTACTCGGGAGCTGAGGCAGGAGAGTTGTTTGAACCCAGGAGGCAGAGGTTGCAGTGATCCAATATCATGCCACTACACTCCAGTGTGGGTGACAGAGCAATACTCTGTTTAGGGGGTGGGGGGAAGGTTATATAAGGCTGGGTGTGGTGACTCATGCCTATAATGCCAGCATTTTAAGATGCTGAGGTAGGAGGATTGCTTGATACCAGGAGTTCGAGAGCAGGCTGGGCGACATAGCGATACCCCATCTCTACAAAAAAATAAATAATTAGCTGAGTTGGGTGATGGCATATGCCTATAGTCCCACCTACTTCAGAGGCTGAGATGGCAGGATCTCTTGAGCCTGAGAGGTTGAGGCTGCAGTGAGCTGTGATTGCAGCACTGCATTCCAGAGCCTGGGTGACAGAGTGAGACTCTGTATAAAAAAAAATTTACCCGCCAGAACAAAACTCTTTGAAGAAAGATAAAATCCAGACCCAAAGTAATATTCACAATATTTAATATAAATGTTAAAGATTATTAGAAAAAAAACAGGCACAGTGGCTCATGCCTGTAATCCCAGTACTTTGGGAAGCCAAGGCAGGCGAATCACTTGAGGTCGAGGTCAGGAGTTCAAGACCAGCCTGATCAATATGGTTAAACCCCGTCTTTACCAAAAATACATAATCAGCCAGGCATAGTGGTGTAAACCTGTAGTCTCAGCTACTCAGGAGCTCTGAGGCAGGAGAATCACTTGAACCCTGGAGGCAGAGGTTGCAGTGAACTGAGATTGTGCCTCTGCACTCATGCCTGGGTGACAGAGTGAGACTGTGTCTCAAAAAAAAAAATAATAATAATAAAGGCAAAGAAGAAGATAATCAGTATGTGTAACTAGGAGAAAAACAGTCAGTAAAGACAGACAAAAACTGAGAGTCAACAGAAGTATGAGAATAAGCAGACAAGGACTTAATGTGACTATTTTACATGTTTAAGAATTAAAGGAGGCCAGGCGAAGTGGCTCATGCCTGTAATCCCAGCCCTTTGGGAAGCCGAGGTAGGTGAATCAC